AAGATGTTGTGTCCGCCGAGAACTAAAAAATAAATATTAAAAATTCTCTCTCTCTCTCTCTCTCTCTCTCTCTCTCTCTCTCTCCTCTCTCACTCTCTCTTAAAAAAAATAAGTGTCATTAGTGGTCTAGATAGCAAGTGCAAGCACTGTGTTTATATCATCATGGGCTGGTATCATCATGAAAAAGGAATAAGGAAGGAACCTATCCTTGCAGAATGGGCAGGATTCTGAGAAGTAGAGAGGGACGGAAGGCTATTACAGACATTATCAATAGCACAGAAGGAATCAAAAGCACAGGTTCCTGGACTGTTGGACAGTAGATATCGCCAAACAATACGTAAGTAAATTGAGCGAAGTTAGGCAGGAAGGAAATGAGTGTCAAACTAAAATTAGTCTTCAGAATTCCAACTCTAGGCTCTGACACTATGTGTATTAATTGAAGCAAAGAATCTGGGAGAAAAAGAGGAAGATAATACGATTAWATGTTAGTCGAGGTACTTCTATGAGAACTTAAGGATTTTGAATTGTTTTGAATTGTTGCAGCGATGTGCAACTGAATGCTTAGTTGTGATACAAGGTGATTTCTCTGCATTGTTTTTATTTTAGCTCTTTGTTACATACTTTGCAATTATTGCACAAATACATTGTCTCAATGTTCCTATATTGATTTTGCAGGTTTTGTGCTGGTCTTACTGCACAAGGGCGTAGGTCCGTTCACCTTTGTTTAAAGCCACTTCTGTGAAGGGTTCCTTCAGTTCAGATGCTAGCTACGCTCACAGAAGCTTCCGGTAAAAATTGGCTCTCTGCAGCCACCGTCTCCCTCTGAGATCTCATCCAATCAGGCTCCGCGGAAGGGGCGGGGCTGAAAGGCGCGCGTTGWGCTTCTTGCACTGTTTGCCGCGGTCGCCTTCAGCATGGAGGAAATTTATGCCAAGTTTGTGTCTCAGAAAATCAGCAAAACCCGCTGGCGACCAGTGCCTCCGGGAAGCCTGCAGACCGCAGAGACCTTCGCTACCGGTTCTTGGGACAATGAGGTGCCACTGTTCCCGGGAAGCGGAGCCCGTACCTTCTTTCTTTTCCTCTTGGGTGTCCTGGGCCGGCCGAGCTCGAACTCTCACCTTCTAGCTCCTCTCGCCCTTCTCTGTCCCCTGAACCCTCGTCGCGGTTCTGTTGCCTGTAGTTCACAGCCAYTAATGGTTGAGCTTCGTATCTCCTTGTGTTTTTAAATTCTTACCATACCATTCGTGTGAGGTGCTTCTGAGTCAAGATTGGCTGAAAGTAATACGGATTTTACTTTCCTCTAGTTGACGTTTACGCTGTCTTTGCAGGAAAATTTTGTTTCATTGTGGTCTATTGGAGATTTCGGGAATTTGGACTCTGATGGAGGATTTGAAGGAGACCATCAATTATTGTGTGATATCAAACACCATGGTGATGTCATGGATTTACAGGTAAATCTGTATTGTACCCAAAAGATAACTTTAAAAACTGAAAATAATATATCTAGAGATGCRTGGGATCTTAAAATTTTGTCTAGTCACACTCCTAGTAAATATGATTTGTCAGCACATTTAGCCACTTGGTGGCAGGATCAGAACTGGGAAAGAGATTGTAGATTTAATCCTAGTTTTTAAAAATTAATCTATGCACCAAGGAATGTTTTGGAGCTTTATATAAGTTAACATAATTTTCATTGCATTTCCATATATCAAGCATTGGTTTATGTTTTGTGTGTTTGTTGCAGTGAGGTGCTTGGGATTGAACCTAGGCTCTTGCACATGTTAGGCAAGTGCTCTACCAGTTAGCTATATCCCCATCCCTCAGGTATTGTTATTTCTGCTTTTTTTCTTTGCCCTTTTTTTTTTTTTTTTTTTGGTACCAGGGATGGAATCCAGGGGTGCTTTACCACTAAGCCACATCCCCCTTTTTTTAGTATTTTATTTAGAGACAGGGAGGGTCATGCCTAGTTGCCTAAGTCCTCACAAATTTACTGAGGCTGTCTCTCTCTGAGAAGTAGAGAGGGATGGAAGGCTATTACAGACATTACCAATAGCACAGAAGGAACCAAAAGCACAGGTTCCTGGACTGTTGGACAGTAGATATCGCCAAACAATACATAAGTAATATCCTCCTGCCTTAGTGTCCCAAGCAATTGGGATTGCAGGCCTGTGTCACCATGTCCAGCTTGTTATTTTTCTTTATCAATAAAAAAGCTGAGACTAAAATCTTTGAAGCATATATTATGTGGCAAATAATGTGCAGGGACGTTCATATGGAATTGACTTTTGAATTATTATTATTTTTTTAATTTTTAATATTTATTTTTAAGTTTTTAGCGGACACAACATCTTTGTTTGTATGTGGTGCTGAGGATCAAACCCAGGCCGCACGCATGCCAGGCGAGCGCACTACCGCTTGAGCCACATCCCCAGC